AGCACTGCAAATCGTTAGAAACCTAAATCTCATGGTTCATGTACTAGGGCCAGGCAGCTCTCCTGAGAGCAGAGGTAATTAAATTTTGCTCAGTCATGCAGGTAGAGAGAAGCAGCTCTTGATAATCCTACCTCTTGTCCTTGCATGTCTTTGTAACACACTTTGTGGCAGCTGGCTTGGCCTCTCCAGAATGCACGAGCTGGAAATCCACTCCTGCAGAGTGCTGGGGGAACTGAGGACACTCCTTAGGCTTCAGATGGTCTGTGTGGTTTCTGTCCTCAGAAAAAAAGTGTCACAGAGTCATAGGATGGTTTGGGTTGGGAGGAACTTTAAAGGACATCTTGTTCCAAGCCTTCTGGGCAGGGACACTTCCCCCTGGACCAGGTTATCTCCTGGCAAAACCACCACCAGCACAGTCCCCTCAGAGAAGGAAACTTCATTTGTTAAAGGAAAACATCTCATTCTGCTTCTACAGCTTCTCCACTCATCAAATCTGCACGAGTCTTTCTGCAGACATGAAGGCCTGCAGGCTACTCCAGGCTGGCCAAACAGTGACAGCAGCCCAAGCAGCACCCATCACCCCTTCAGCAGCAGCTGGCTCTGGCAGATCTCCCATTGCTGTTGCAGGACATGCAGCTCTAACTGAAGTGAGGGAACCAGGACAGTGCAGGCTCAGCCCCCTGCTCTGGACAGTGTCATGAGTGGAGCTAAAGCCTCAACTCCCTGTGACTCCAGGTACAGAGGGCACAATCCCACAAGTCACCAGCAGAGTCAGTAATGAAAACAGAGAGCCCTGACACCCAGTTCATTGTAGAAAACAAAAGGCTGTTCCCAAAAGGTCAGAATCCTTGACTTCATCTTACACAGGAGAAAGTGAGGCACAGAACTGTGACATGACTTCTCAGAGCTGAGGACTGAGAGCTGGTCTCAGTTCAGCACTCTGTCCAAGGCCAGCACTGGCTCCATCAGACAGACTTGAGAGCTTTAATTCCCATCACACACATCTTCTGCACCTGCAGAACTTTTCCTCCCTACCCCTACCTCTTTGGTGACATGCTGTCCCATTCTCATTCACAGTCCTCCAGCCAAAACATTCCCTTCCTAGCATGGATGAGCTCTGCAGCACACCAGAGGGTTCACTCCTTGCCCCCTAGGAAAAGGCAGCTCTTCTCCATGGAGAAAAGGAAGTGGACAGGAAGAGGCCTGAAGGTGAACCCCCCCTTTCTGAAAGCATCAAGACCTGTGGAAGGATACAATTCTTCAGACTCAGAGGGTTTGGGATGGCATCGCAGAGACTGATGGAGAGGAGTGCTGCCAAATGCCCCCCAACACGCAGGGCACGTGTGATGCTCCAGGAGCTGGTCCTGAGAGCAGCTCTGAGATCCCCACGGGTGTCACCACAGCCTGATCGTGTCCCTTTGTTACTGCACAAACTCTTTTACTGGTCCATTCCACCATCTAGTGGAGATCTCTGAGAAGACAGAGTGAAGCAGGGCAAGATCTGCCACAAGGCACAAAACCACAGGACAACTAAAAATGGAAACCACCTTCAAGGTCATCAAGTGCAACCTCTGCCTGAATCCCACCCTGTTCACAAACCATATCATGTAGTGGCATGGTTACTCATTTTTCGAACACTTCCAGGAGATGGTGTCTCCACTAATGCCCTAGGCATCCTGTGCCAATGCCTGACTACTCTTTCAGTAAGAAATTTTCCCTAAAATCCAACCTGAACCTCCTCTGGCACAACTTGAGGCCCTTTCCCCTTGTTCTGTCACTCATCCTCCAGATGCTCCTCATCAGATTTGTGCTCCAGAGCCCTGTACATGTAGTAACAGCTCTTGCTCCTACATCATTTTGTATCTTATTCAAGATCCTTTGGTTGCTCAGTGTAACAGATGTGTTTACTTTGCACTTAGATGAAAACTTGATCAAGTTCAGAGCACAAGTGTAGACTAGTAAAAGATTTGAACATTTTACACAAGCCCTGATTAATCCTGCAGATGGAGACCTCAAGGAGCCATACAGAAGGGCTCACAGGGAGCATCCTGCTGTGTGGAAGTGGGGCTGGACAGTGCTTGACACTTGCCAGTGACTCCACATCACCCCGTGAAGTTTGTATTAATCACGAGGTGAAACCGGTGATCAGCACACAGTGGAAACCAAACACAGAACAGCTTACCCAGTAATACACTGAGGCCTGACTGGCACTGGGTCCTGGCTTTGAACCACGTGCTGATGGGAGTTGGTTAGGAGAACTAAAAATGGGGATTTTTACAGTCACCTCTATAGAAGGAAGTCCAGTCCTACCTCAGATAGTACACACCTGCATTACTAAGAAAGAACTTCCACCCCACACCACTGAAGAAGCTTTTCAGAAGACATTTGGGTCACAGCAGGAACTATTTCATCACCACTTCAGCAGTCACAGAGGGTGAATATGAAGTAGGGCAGGTGACAATCACCCTCATGCCTTGATTTTTAGCTGTCTGCAATATTCTGTGCTTAAAAATCAGCCAAGATGCTTTTCACAGGTAGTCAGAGACAGAAATGCCCAGGACACTTCAGCAGCACATGAGATGCTCTACCTGGGGGTGTTCAAGACAGGCTGGACAGAGCTTGGATCAACATGGGGTAGTGGAAGGTGTCCCTGCCCATGGCAGGGGGTGGAACAAGAGGACCTTTAAGGTCCAAACCATTCTAGGATTCTGTGATTCCAAGTGTCCTGTCTGTCCTTGGTGACACCAGACTTCTGCAAAGCCCTTTGCTGCTGACAAGGGGTGGGGTCAGGGTGCATGGGGATGGTGACAGGGATGTCCTTACCCACTCTGCTGCCACCTGAGGCATGCGCAGGGCATTTGGAGTGGGCATCAGTCAGAAGAACATGAGCTGACTCCCACCCAGTATGAGTGAGACAGCTGCTAAATGTACATCTGGCAGCTGTGGTGATAAGCAGCACGGGTAACACTAAAGACAAAGTGTTTTCTCTGCAGTGCTGCCCAGTGGTGGGGTGGCAGCCAGCCCACACTGCAGACCCCCAGGGCTCTGCACGCTCCTGGATATTCTGTCAGGAACACAGGAACACTCCTGTGCAGGGCCATCTTTAGCCACTTCTTTCACCCGTCACAAAGAAAAGAGTCACTGCCTGAAAATTATATTGCAGTCTCAAAATCTTGTTGCAGCAGGTCATCCTGTCACCTTCAGGAGGGACCATATAAGAGGAGGCTGTGAATGTCCTGACTGGAATAACCGCATGTATATATCATACATATTGTATAATTTGTCATTATCGCTGTCATTAATACTATATACATAACACCACAATAACCCTTTCCCTGTACAAATAGAGCCCTAAACTGCAAGGAAGTTCAAGTGAGTGTTGGAGGATTCCAGTCTATTAATTCCTTGCATAATCCCAGTAACACATTAACATTCCCCAGAGCTATACCAGTCCTCCCAGCAATGTTTTCCAGTTAAATTGTTTTGTTGTGAATCAAAGCCTGTTAAATAAACAGAGCAGATCCATTTCATCTCATTTCACATTTCTGAAAGGAAAATATTCAGTTTGTATTTTGCTGAGAGCTGAGAGCAAGGCACTGTGAGGGCAAAACTTACTGAGGGCAAAATTAAGGGTGAAACACACATACCCACATACACCTTCACCCACTTCTGCAAAAAGCTGATGTAATTTTGCATAACTTGAGATATTTGTGATCTGACTTTTCTGGGTCACTGTTATTCCACACCATTTAATGTTCACAATAGCTCCCACTGAGTGCAGTTCTCTCCTGAGCACCACGGGATGTCCAACCCCTGGGGCCTTTAATGAGGCACTGAGAAAAGGATTTGTGTGTGCTGAAGTTAATGCTCACATCGAGGTTACACACATCTCCACAAGAACGGACTTCCCTTCAGCTACAAGACACTTGTCTGGTAGCTGAAGCGTAGTGTCTTGTGCCCCACTCATGAAATGGGAAATGCTGGGATGTCTAAAGGCAGTCCTGGGAGAGCTCAGGCTCCCTGTGCCACCAGGCAGTGACAGCAACAGCCTGAGCACACACAGCCCTTGCCTGCTGTCACCCATCTCACTGCCACCAGACCCATGGCCACCATTCTGCAGAAAAGGTGCTGGAAATTTTTTGTTTGTTTTGTTTTGTTTTTTAATTTCACACTTAGGAGCCACTCGTAGGACAGCAGAAAACAGGAAGAGTCCTTCTTGGAGGAGCAAATCAGCCTGGCCAGGTAATTCTGAAAGCAAATGCTTCCTCCAAGAGGGCAGCAGGCCCACTGCACGTCTGTGCACCCCTGTGCAGGGCCACCCTGCGCCAGGAGTGAGGGGACAGCCCAGCCCAGGGGAAGGCAAAGAGACATCTCTGTCCACAGAGCTATCAACACCCAGGGGATATGTCCATGGGGAAATGTGCTGGCAGGACAACGGACAGCGGAAAATGAGACCAACAGCGACAGAATCCACCTCAGGCGCAGATGAGGGAGCTGGGAAGGGGCTCAGCCTGGAGAAAAGGAGGCTCAGGGGGGACCTTGTGGCTCTGCACAGCTCCTGACAGGAGGGGACAGCTGGGGGGTCGGGCTGTGCTCCAGGGAACAGGGACAGGAGGAGAGGGAACGGCCTCAGGCTGGGCCAGGGAGGCTCAGGGTGGATTTTGGGAATTTCTTGACTCAGAGATTTTCCTGGCCTAGACTGCTCAGGGCAGCTGTGGAGGCGCCATCCCTGAAAGTCTTCAAGAAAGGAGTGGATGTGGCACTTGGGGACACGATGAGGAGGTGTTAGCTCATAGGTTGGACTGGATGACCGTAAAGGTCTTTTCCAACCCGGCTCATACCGCGATCCCACGACCGCTCCTGCCTCCATGAGGCGCTGAGGGGGCCGGGGCGGGGCCGAGGGCGGGGCTATCCCAGCTCCGGCCACGCCCCCACCCTCATGCTCTGGGCCCGCCCTCGGCCCGCCCCGCCCCGCGCAGGCGCAGAGGCGCAGCTGGGCCTCATGCGGTTCCCAGCCGAGCCGGCCGGGAGCGGCGCCGCGCGCGCTCCGCACCTCCCGCCCGCTCCCCCCGCGCGCGCGCTGTCCGCGCGCCCGGCGGCCCCAGGTGAGA